TGAATAACAGTACTTATGACCCTTATAAGTGTATACACACTTATATGGAAAATATAAAGAGTCACATACTCCTCTCAGCACGTTCTCTGGATTACTTGATTAACAGAAAAGAAACTACAAAGTTCTACCCATGCTAGATAGCAGTAGCAGTTATTGTTCATCATAGTTACAGGTTATCAAAGGCAAGGAGATTTGTCAATCATTTGATCCTAGAAGCCACCAAAATGGATCATGAAACCCCAAAGATTCGGAGTCTGATGAATTTCACGTTTTTGCACCAGTTGTGCATTCATATAATTAGCTTATATATAAAGTAGCTTCTCCATTCAGTTAACATCCTGCCTTTTGCATAGACTGTCAGGTTGGTAGGTCTCAGCCTAGAAAAATTTGGAAAGTAAAACCCAAAGCCTTTATCTAAACTTCAGGGGAAATAGCTAGCAAGTACATTATACCTCACAACACTCAAATTTAATGTTTACTTACTGAGAGAAACTCAAATGTCTTTTCTCCATAAAGTCGATTAGCAGTTCTGAGGATGTATTTGGTCTCAGGGTTGTTAATTTCAGAGAGAAGCGATTGGTACCCATTGTGAGCATCCTCAGCTTTGTTCAAAGAAAGCACCTGCAGAGAGACAAATACCTTCTGTGGAGTCTATGTCATCTCTGACATACTTGCTTCAGCACAATTGTTTTGTTTTTAAATGAGTTTTGGGCTTAAAATCTGAGACTTGAAGCCAGCGGATTTTTCATTGCACAAGTCACATACAGTGCACCCAGACTGATGTTGTATGAGTAAGAAATTATGTTGCCGAAAAATGAGTCTATCTTCATTCTGTCCAAGTGTTAGAGGATCACAGAATGGTTGAGATTGGAAAGGAGCTACGAAGGTTACCTGGTTTACCCCCCTGCTAAGGAATCTGTCTAGCTTCCAAAGAAGTCTGAGTGCAGACACATTCTGCCCTTTTCTTAATGCTGCACAAGGTAGTTCTTAGAGAACTTAGGCTTTATGATCTCCGCCCTACCAAGCCTAGGAAAACTCAGTTAAAATCCAGAAACAAAGGAGCCTGAAGTTAAAACAAACAAACAAAAACTCCACATAATTTTTCACATTGATTATAATCGCACCAAAGGATCTTATTTAATACCTTAGATGCAAATCTGATCCTTCAAGTGATAACAGGAAATACACTGCTGGAGCTGATGTTAACACAGGCAAACATTTAAATTCCCATTAAAACAACATTTCAGCTTCATCCTCATTCTTCCTCTTGACTACTACCACAGGTACAAATGAAAAAGTATTGATGATCTATTCCAAATTACAACACCAGAAAGAGAGAGGCAGGCAGCACCTTAGTGAACACAGAATAAAGTGCACTACACTTAATGATAGATTTGACCCTACCCTGTTACAACAGGCCCACCACTATACTCCCAAACTGCTCTCCAGGTCACTTAATTACAAATTTACATTATGAATTTTACTTTTCATTGGCCATGCAGCTTTGCCTTGCTCTGAATCTTTGCTGGGGTACTCACTGAACTTCAGAGCAATGTTCTTAGCTCTGTATCACTTCTTTCTTCTGGAAGTTCCAGGATTAAGACTACAGGTTGTGAAAACATAAACTAGTACACTGAATGAGCAACTGGTTGGTTTTGTTTGTTTGTTTGTTTCTCGAAATCTCGGACTGTTTAATGTGACATGCTTATATGTTGGATTTTCTTTCCCTTGATTATCTGGCTACATTTTTGAAGTATGCATAGTGTGACATTAAGCCCAAAAACATAATAGAAAAAATTTTCTCTTATTGGAGATTCATCTCTGGCTCTACAAATACAAATATAGAAGTAAAAAAAAAAAAAAAAAAAAGAATCCCAACTGCCTCTTAATGACATAAAAGGAAGATCTCCATATCACAAACAAAAACCCAAACATCCCAAAACCCAGGAATCTCTTGATTTCACACTGCAGGAAGTCCTCCTGTACATAAATTCCGTAGAAACAGGTTCTGCTTATGTACATACTTCAGGAAGATTTCTGACCTCTGAGGCCAGACTGACTGTAACAATTTAGCAATTAGAGGTCACAGATTGCAACACAAATCTCAGATCTGCAGTTAATATATTATCAAATAGATGATATATGCATCAAATCCAATACATTAAGTTTGGATACATACCTTTGCTATTTGGGATTCAGTGTTACCTTTCGAACCCAACAAAATCATAGACAAAGCAGAAGAAATACTAAAAGGAGAAAAGAACAGATTCTTTGTGTTGTTTTTCTCACGCAGCTCTCTTAAGAGGTCGAGAGCAAAAGTGGAAACAGCTGTACTGAGGCTATCCATCATTCAAAGCCTATGAGAGAAAAAAAAACAAGATTGGCTTAAATTTATTTGATCACAAACTGACAAACTACTTCTTTTACATTTCACAATATAAACCATATAGCAAATATCTTGATTTGGGTAGAAAGTTATGAAAAACTGGTTTGGTGGAATAAATATTTTAAATTCCATACAATATACTTGAGACAGTTAATGTTTTTATGTTTTAAAAATATATATGTAGCAAGAGCAATTCCCATTGGCACAGAAACAGATAATTATCAAGGTAAGAAAAGACCACTAAGATCATCTAATCCAAATGTCAACCTATTCCCACCACGTCTGCTAACCCATATGCTTAAGTGCCCTATCTAGACATTTCGTAAACACGTCCAGAGACATGACTCCACCACTTTCCTGGGCAGCCTGTTTTCAGTGCCTCACCACTCTGAGCAGTTTTCCATAACATCCCACCTGAACCTCCTCTGGCACAACTTGAAACCACCCTCTCTCATCCTATTGCTGCTACCTGAAGAAGAGGCCAAGCCCCATCTTACTACAACCTCCTTTCAGATCACTGTAAGAGTGGTAAGATCTCCCCTGAGCCACCTCTTCTCCAGGCTGCACCATCCCAGCTCCCTTAGCCACTCATTGTAAGACTTGTGCTCCACACCCTCCACAGCTTCATCGTCGTCCTCTGGACACACTCCGGGGCCTCAGTGTCTTTCTGGTAGTGAGAAAAGTCATTGGTCTTCTTCAAGCAATAAATAATACTACATCTTTTGAGATGAGCACACTATGATATGACAGAACAAGTCTCCTTTGACTCCACAAAGACAATTACTTGCCTTACAGGAAAACCGAAGCAGAAAGGCATCTGAATTGTAGAATTACAAACTCACCTTCTCAAAGTCTGCGTATCTTCAGTATTCCCTTCAAGCTTGCTTCTTCACTAGTGTTCTAGACCTAGCAGCCAGTCTGCCAGAAACCAACTGAATGAGTCGATCTATAGGATTCAAATGAAATTTATCTGGTCAGCATGACAGATTACTGCAGTTTCCTGCTGTGGTACAAAATCAAAGTCCTCTGCAGTTTGCCTTTTATTGTCTACATCATGGAAACAGATTAGTAAACTATTTACTTGGAACTTCATGGCACATACATAGCTCAGTGCTTGTCAGACTTCACATACGTCAGCCGAGCAGGTAGCTAACTAGCCCAAAGTTACGCTACACACCTGCAGGAAGGTGCAATGAGTGCCAGAAAGCAGAGTAAATTACAGATAAGTGCCAGCTGACATTGCAGGATATCAGCTAGCAATAAAGATGGTGGTGTTTTTTTTTTTCCCCCTAAGGCAGTGCCTGGTGTTGGTACGTTGCTATAAAACAGAGCCAACACCTACTTTGTATTAATGATTCATGGCCTCAAACAAGAGGTAGCAGCAAGTTTCCGCAGGCATGTTTCCCCTAAGACAAATTCTCGGCAGGAGCTTCGCTACGTTCAACAGCTGCAGCTGTACTCGTTTTTCCCTCTCCCCGTAACCATAAAAACACCGACAAAAAGAAAACTCGGACTGAAACAGTCCTCCCGTTCTGCCTGAAGCAGGAGCAATTTAACGCCGAGCACCTTACAGCGCTAATAAGGCTGGGCGCAGCTCAACTGCCCGCGCTCTCCCTGCGGCTCAGGAGCAGGCTGAAGCTCGCACCTCTCCATCGATTTACGCCTGTTTGCCACAAAACCCAGAGACAGGGCTGGATGACAGGGCTGTGGAGCACTGCGACATCCCTTCCGCCGCCAGCACTCGGCCAACGCCCGGCAGCCTGGCACGCTGAAACCGCTCGGAGCGCCGCCGCGAGGGGAACGCCGCCGCCTCCCCTCAAAAAACCAACGCGTGCTTCCCGCAGAAAACGACAGCGCAGACGCTCCGCACTCACCCAACCGAGCACAAACGTTGCCCCGACCTCTGCCCCGCCCTTCTCCCGGAAGTTTTTGCCCAACCACGGGCCGCCTATCGTAGGGGAGCGGGTTGGAGTTGAGCTACGGACGGCGGCCCTGAGCCCTTCCCTGCGGCGGTGGGAGGCGGCCATCTTGGCTCGGAGCCGTTCGTGCCTTCGTGGTGCTCGCCTCGCTGCCTGCTGCCTGATTTCCCCTTCTGCCTCCCCCTCCTGGTAGAGCCGACAGAAAGCACCACTAAGCTGCGAGGGGTCGTTTATTAGCAGTACTGCTAAGTTTGAAGCAGGCGCTGCTTTGTGTAAAGTCAGCAGCGTGGGTCAGGCTCTTCTGCCACACCTGTGACAGTGAGAGGAAGCAGCCCGCGTGGAGCGTGTCCTTGTTATTTCTTCGGGGCAGTCAGTGGAATGGAGGTGAACTGGTGAAGGCTTCAGCTTTGGCTGTGTTTGCCTCTGTAACGCAGAGAGCCAGTGAAAAGCTAAAGAGGAGCAGGGGCTAATTGTGGCAGGGTGGAAGTGTGAAGATGCATCTGAATCAGGTGCTCTGCTTGTGCGAGTGAATGTGGGCACGGCTGTAGCTATCTGGAGTAGCTGAAGCTTTGCCTCAGGCTGTGGAATATGCACAGAAAGAGTGCAGGTCTCAGTCCCCTCAGCTGCAGCAGTATGGAGCTCTGCCCCTGAGCTGGCAAGCCAGCATCTCTTGCTCTGTAGAGCAGGGAGTAACTCTAAGGTGAGCAGAGTCTGCCAAAGAAGAGGATGGTTTTGGATTTGTTGTGTCTGATGAAGAAGAGAAAAGGGTGGTTGGCTTTAAAAGTTACTCTAGGTGTTCTTGACCTCATCACCAGGACACCTGTGGCAGCTGCTGCCTCAGTACCTTCTTCACTGACCTCCACAAAAGCTTTGTGAATAACTTTTGATATGAAGAGATCCTTCTTTGCTGACATCCTTGTGAAATCAGCCTGAACAGGGTCAAAAGCATTTTGGATCCCCATGTTGCTCAAAGTGGACGTAAGGTCATAATTTTCTTCCATCTTCAGCTTGGGCAGGTAGAGTTCAACTTCGACTTTCATCATCATGGCTGAGTTTGACCATTCAGCTAATTTTTCGTGGGTCAGCTCTCTTTCTACCTGCAATGAATTTTAGAAGAATACAGTTATGATACAACAGGAAAAAATAAGGCATGCACATTGGTGTCTAATGCTCTATATTTAAAAGGTCCAACTACCAGCTGTGGGTGCAGCTGAATATCCACTAGGACATGGTCCTGCATAGTGCTGAGTGACCTATACTCCTATCTGTTTCCTTAAATGCAGTGAGGTGTAGAGTGAACCTTCCGAATAATCCATTATTTTGAAAGCAGATATGAGAAGTATTGCTTTTATGCAGTGTCCAGCTTAACCATATTAGTAAGTGCGTGGTATGTGTGAATATATAAGGTATTTCTCTTAGTAGCGCTAAGTGGAATGCGTGGAACCTCAAGAACAAATAAAAAGATGTTTGCCTGATGTATTTAGATTCAGAAGCTAATCTCAGCATGATCATGAGTGGCTGTTCGTACCTCATGGGTCAAGGTAGTCAACACAGAATTTGAGAAGCAGCATTACAAAATATAAGGTGGAAATCCGGACTGCAGATGACATAAAATTGATGAGTAGAGCTCTCAGAAGATTAATTCTCCTAGAATTGGTTCTTGCTTTCATTATTCTGCTGTTCTGGAGGTAGAAAAGGAGGCACCAAATATGCTGAGGGAGTATACTTTTTTAGATGTGTCGTCAGGTAGATTAATATGTTTGCATCATTAACATGACCCGAAACCTAGACTGAGAAGTCATTGTGTCATTTGAAGTTCATTCTTCCTCACTGTTTTCATTGATTTCTGTTGGTGCTTTGTAGTGCATGTGATGCAGTATGTCAGTTTTACCTGCTCCAGCCCAGTAGTGTTATCACTGATGTCATCTGGTAGGAGTATGAACATGCTGACTTCATTTTCCACATACGGCAGCTCAATAATTTTGAATTTCATTGTTTGTTCATGGAGCATCAAAAATGTATCTCTCAGAAACATCATCTGTGCTGGTTTAGTCTTGGTCTGTGAAATGATTCAGATGTTTAAAAAAAAAAAGAAAAAAAGAAAGAAAAAAGAAAAAGTTGTACTTTTTTCCGTAAGGTGAATGGTAAAGAATACTTGCTTTGCTGAACTGAAGGCAAAAAAATTGTAAACAAGTGTAAGACTCAGCATCGTTTGAATACTTCTCCAGTGCCATTTCTCCTGTTTTAAAGTCACAGAGATCTTCCAAAAAAAAAAAAAAAAAAAAAAAAAAAAGGGCATGGACACTACCTGATAACGTAATTACATGCAATGTATTTTCACTCTTTTGATAGAGTTAGCTTTGATAGGCAAGTAACTACTTTGTATGTTTCAAGTTTTTCCCAAAACTTTATCTTTCTCGAGTGAATGTGTTGATTGGGAGGAAAAAAAATCCAGACTTTCATTCTCTGGATGTCATCAGCCCTTTTGCATACTTCCAGACAGTGCTGATTGATTGAATTTACCTATGAACCATATTTGCTGTGACTGCTGCTAGCTTTTTCTCTTTCCCAAACTGTAGAAGTTTGGATTACTAAAAGAAATTATATTACACAATAATCTTCTGAACTGTTATGCTGTATTATGTTCAGAGACCAGTGATGTATCCACTCTCTCTTTTCCATTGTTACACAAGTGCAAAAGCTTATCTGTTAGCAGGCTTTGCTATCAGCCACCCTGTGAATGAAACCCTTTCTGTGCACCACGTTCGATTACAGGTCCTAAAACTGCACATGTAGCGTAGTAGGTTTCAGATAACACAACCACAGTATCGACACAGTTGCTTGACATCACCAGGCATACAGAAGGTGTTTGCACTCATAATCTATGTCAAACAAGGTAAGTGTTTCGATTGGAAATTCTTTCTGCTCACCTTTGACACAAGCCAAAAATATGCATGCTGTCAGCTACTGGGAATTGTCCGAGCACAATCACTGAAATACTGTAAGCTTGGTTGTGCCCACAGTGCGTGATGAACACATCATCCGTGTGCACCTGGCTAGAATGACAAACCCTCTTGGAAATTCCCCGTGAGGGAATTCGCAATGGGCAGGGTATTTGGAAAGAACATAGAGTTTAGATTAGTTGAGCTCAGATTATACAGCCTCTGTCTGAAAAGCATGAGAAGAGACCTAGGTGTCCAAGTACTGCTCTCAGAAGTAACTGAATTTCTTCTGAAAATGGTATCTCAGTACTTAGAGAAATCTCGTCTTGTCCTTAAGCTGCTTAACCATGGTGTTTTCAATTATTTTGGTTCCAAGAAGTTACTAACTTACCTGAAAATCCATTCTTGTGCATCTGTGTAAGTGAGACTGTTGATTTATTTTCAGTGTTGCTGTTCTCAGAGTTTATACCATCTGCTTCTACTATGAGTGCTGTTGCAGTGGCGTATGAAATGCGCATGAAATATTTAGGGAATTCTTGTTCAGCAATAATAGACATTTTAAAGGAATTTACCTTGCTTAATCTGAAGGGCATCTCAGATGTATTTTTTTTCAGAAATCTCTTTTCCCAGTTTCCTTTGAAGTAAATAGCATTTACTAAGACCAATATAGTATGAGAATCAAGAGATCCTGCAGGTAGCAGATTCTGGATCTTCCCTTAAAAATCAATCAAATAGAACTGTTAATTCAGTATGACTGCACGACTCACCAGTTTCAGATGTGCTTTCTCTGTGCCTAGCTATCTAGCAAAAGTGTTTGCACTGAGATTTTTCCCCTGTACATTTTTCATGGTGTACGTATATAAAAGGCTTTTGAAGCATCACTATTTTTAAAAACATTTATTTCAGTTTTAGTAGTAAAAGATGTTAAGTGTGTTAAGCTTTTGTGAAGAAGAGCTTCTGTGAAGTTAGCTGCAACCAGTTGAAGCTTGCAGAAATAAACTTCATTAATCAGAGTGGACTCATCCAGTATCTACTTTTGCTTCCTTGTGAACAGAAATAATTCAGAAGAGAATATGATGTGAAGAGTCAAGGGAAAGGCTTTGCAAGGGGCAACAGTTAGTTTTGGAGGTAGGCATCCTTCGAGACATTTAACTGCAATTTATTCATCATTTCCCCCCAGTTTCTACCCTTTATGGATCCTTTACTGCAAGAGCAATTCACGTGGAAACGCAAATGATTTTGAAGTCAGAGAAGAAAAAGCTGTAAAAGCAATACTTACTCTCAGTTTCGTTTTCAACCCAGGAATTGATCTGTGCTCTGGCTTGTTCCACATCTGTCTTAAAGTTCACAGCTTGTGGCTTTGCTTGGTAGTATTTTGTGATGAGTTCTAAAAATTTCTGAACGATAGAAATGGAAAATGTGTGCGTATATAGTTAAATTTAAGCACAAAAATAGTAAAAAAGATAATTTCAACAGATTATGCAATCTACTAATAGAGACTTGAAGAAAATGTAATTCATCTGAAACTAGATAACTCTTAAAATAAATTCTGATACTTTCTATGATGATGGCCACTGAAATGATCAGAGGGCTGGAGCACCTCTCCTATGAAGAAAGGTTGAGGGAACTGGGCTTGTTTAGCTTGGAGAAGAGAAGGCTCTGGGGAGACCTCATTGTGGCCTTCCAGTACTTGAAGGGAGCGTATAAGCAGGAGGGGGAACAGCTGTTTACAAGGTTGGACTGTGATAGGACGAAGGGGAATGGTTTTAAACTGAGACAGGAGGTTTAGGTTAGATTTTAGGGGAAAGTTTTTCACAAAGAGGGTGGTGATGCACTGGAACAGGTTGCCCAGAGAGGCTGTGGATGCCCCATCCCTGGAGGCATTCAAGGCCAGGCTGGATGTGGCTCTGGGCAGCCTGGTCTGGTGGTTGGCAATCCTGCATGTAGCAGGGGGTTGAAACTAGATGATCTTTGTGGTCATTTTCAACCCAGGCCATTCTATGATTATGATTCTATATTAAATAATAAGCAAGGACTGCTCAAAGTTCAGTATTTGTGTTTCACAGAAAACAGTACTTCAAATTTTTGTGTTTTAAATCCAGTGTGCAAATTTGAAATTTTGAGATCCCATGAAATAAACATTCTACACTTTAAAAAAAAAAAATTTTTTTGATTTCTCAGAAGAACTTGAAGTGTATGTGTGTATTATGTTTTATGATATTCAGTACAAGAGGAAGAATAGCCTCACATACACTTAAACAATGTTCTAAGATTTGCTTCAGTCAAGGAAGCTGCCAAGAGTTTGTGAGGTCAATAGAGGGTCAGACATAAAGGGAATGTGATGGTAGAATAAACTAGAACTGACTTTTACACTGCTGTCTTCTGTGAAGTTGTTCATGGAAATTCCCAGCAGGAAATTCCTTGATTAGTCTTAAACCATAGTTACACAAAATTATGTAGAATGTGAGCAATGAGCATTCAGTAGGACTGATTTAATTTAATGACTGAGTAATTACTCAGGAGACTAAAACTACCTCCAAGATGAAAGAACGGTAACCTCATTTAACAGTACCTTCCAAGAAACTGGAAGGTGATTAACACAATGTCATTTCTTAAAAAGATTTCAAAGATACAGGGAATTACAAACTCATGAGTCTGCTCAGGGCAAATGAATAAGCGGGCCTACTGGGCACGTAGATGAGCGTGGTGTATTGAAACAGCATTCTGTAATAGGAAGTCCTACATCACAAATCTTTGGGAGGTTTTTGAAGGTGACAAGAAGCCTACAAATGACAAGGTCAAACCACTACAGCCAATTTGGATTACCAAAAGGCATTTTGGAAGACTTCTCACCAAAGGCTTTTGAGGAAGCTGAGTATCCATGGGACCGCAGAGAAAGGTCTTGTTTAAAAGGCTGGAAACTAAGAGGAGGAGGAAAGAGATTCCTGTAGTTCAGCTGTAGAACTCTTACAGTTCTAAAGGCTGCAGTAGATTTAAAAGGCAGAACATTTGGAAAATTGTGATTGTCAGATATATATTTCAAATGCTCTTTTTGTAAAAATATTCTTAAGCAGAAATGTTCAACTCACAGGCAGTAATGGGTAGGTCTTGTCCTCAAACAGTTGGTTAGCGCTTTTCAGTAAGTAAGTGTTTCTAGGTCTGTTGATGGCAGAAAGGAATTCTTTGAAGCCAGAGTGGATGTTTTCAGTTTCCTCATACTCAGCACCCTTGGAAAGAGGCACCAATTAGTACGGAAATATTTATGTCTGAAGCGTTACGCCTTCTGTGGTTATTTAAAATCCCCAGATCATTTCAATTTAGAAGGTGTGTGCAGGGATGGAGCTCGTCGTAGGCTGTCTGTCACTTTTGCAGCACTGTGCATAACTGGATAAAATGTTTTATGCCTCTGGGGTTATGATTTCATTCTGCGGAGCTGCTTACACCTTTGAGGACACCAGCTGTCCTCACGTGGTGCACCCAGGATGTTGGGTCATCTCATTTCAGTCACACTCAAGCCTAATTTTGGTTATTACAAAAATCATTAAGGCAGCATTGCAGCTTTTGAGGAGCTACTCTGTTCAGACAGGCACTAATGTCAGGAAGTGGAGTTGATTCGGATTTTCTGTTTGATGTGAATTTTGCTGTTGCTGTTTGGAATTTGGAAGGAACCTGTCCAGAATGTGGGTATTGATGGTTTTAGAGCAGGATCTTTCTTGTCAGCTGTGGCTTTGGTACTATGGGGGTAAGCTGCTTGTCCCCTGCTCCCTATGAGCCAATTCAGTATAATTGCCTGCTCTGTGGCAAATACCATGCACTACATGTGAGGCACTGAGATTGTTTGCTGCTGGTGCGTAGGGACTTGTCATAAGATTGGTGAGAAGGCATTCCTTGCTCTGGTATTTTTTCACGCTAGCTGAGATACAGGCTTCCAGAAAGAACATGTGGGGAAGAAATTGGTAGTCAGAGAACAGAACAGTAGATAGGTTTTGCAAGGCAATGGGAACATAGTGAAGAGGTCATGGAGAGAAGTGTCTGGAGGACTTCACCAGGCAGACCTTACTACAACTTACAAAGGCAGTGAATAGCTAAAATGAACGTGGACATAACGATTTATCTTGAACATTAATCCAGATGGAGAATGGTGTAACTGCTCCTTTTTATTTCCAGTTTTTCTAACTTGGTTTCTTTGAGCTCTCCTTTAATTTCTGTGCTAAAGAAACGCAGCTTGTTTGAGTTTACAGACTTTTGAAGCTTAAGGAGTCCGTTTGAAGACCAAAAAAAGTTCTGTGCAGTTCATCTTGCTGTCAAGTCTTTGTGGAGCTGATGAGCAAGGGTGAATCTGTGTGTGTTAGCTGAGAGGGGAATTTTGTTTGTCTGATGTGTGATGCATGGCAGAGTTGGAACAGAGTGTAGGAGGGCAGGAGTGGAGTCAGATGTGAAGGCAATGGCTGTTTTACAGTCCGGAAAAAAAAATAATCCTGAAGTTAGTAGGAATATTAGTTATTCCTATTGCCATAGACCAACTAAAAGCAAGTAACAAATGTGAAAGTCAGTCAGTGTCTCTGTTCTGCTTTGAAGTTCTGAGTTTGTGAGTTTTGCAGCAATATTACCTGCTTGTTCACATTTTTTATGTATAGTTCTTACTGAAATAGGACAGTGGGTATAGACAAATTTTAGAAGGTTAAGGCAGTGATGCTGAGCTATCCCATTCTCAGAGACTTGTTTCTGTGAGTCTTGTCGAAATAAATACCATGTCTCTTTTCTTTGGTCTCCCCAGAGAAGGTGCTGTCCTCTCAGAAGGGCTTTCTTCTCTTGCAGTCTGGTTAAAATGAAGAACCTGTGGCAGTGATAGATTTTCCTAAGAACGGTTTGTTCTGTGAAGATATAAGTGCTCTAGTGTTATGTAATGATGTTAGTTTTCTACTTAGGATAATTTAGCGATTGTACCCTATAATTCTTTTAAAGTTATAGAGAACAAGACCTTACTCCAGACTTAGATTCTACAACCATACCATAATTATATAAATTTTAGTCATATTCACTACTTAACAACATATCAATATGATTGCTCAGACATGGATTTATTTGGAAAAATGGTCAAGTCATGCTTAGCAATGTGAGATTTGTTTTCAGATCATTGTCAGTCAGAACAAACAACACAGTGTGATTCAGAGTCTTACTATTGGGGCACCAATGTACAACTCAAGTACATTGCACAGAGAAATGCTTATGTGAATGCATATAATCTAGGAGTACAACACTGAAATTTTTGCAAAAGTCATAAGTGGTATCATATTTTCATTTCTAGTATACCCCCATTATTCACAGAATAACAGAATGGCTTGGGTCGAAAGGGACCCCAAGGATCATCAAGCTCCAACCCCCCTACCATAGGCAGGGCCACCAACCTCCACATGTAATACTAGACCAGGCTGCCCAGGGCTCCATCCAACCTGGCCTTGAACACCTCCAGGGAAGGGGCACAGCCTCACTGGGCAGCCTGTTCCAGCACCTCACCACTCTCTATGAAGAACTTCCCCCTGATATCCAGTCGAAACCATTCCTTCTTCAAGGGTGTATTGTCTTATTTATGGACTAACCATGTCACAAGCAAAGAAAGATGTTGCTGCTGTGCAGCCAAGCTTGGGTTAAAGCTTACTAACTGGGTGTGGAGAATGAGAATGTCTCTAATGTCAGTGACTTCACTCTGCCAGACTGCTGTGCCAACTGTAAGTGTAAGCTGAATGTAGAGGTAGTAGCAGACAAGGGAGCTCTTGGAAGTAAATTGGAAGGACAGTGCCCTGCAGGTCTGCACGCAGTTTCTTGCAGCCAACATGATAACAAATCACTGTTCTCTCATGTTACTCCTTTTTGTTCTGTGTAGGCAGGTGAATAATGCATGTCATGTGGGAGCCAGCTTTAAGGTGATACACTGCTGATTTCAGAGCTTACCTTTGCTAACTGCATTGCTGTGTCACCTTTTGCACCTAGATGGACCATAGCGAGAGCAGTTGCAATACTCCAAGGAGCAAAGAAAATGTTTTGTCCTTTGGATGTTTCATCCAGCTTTCTGTAAAGGTCCACGGTGAAGCTGTTGGTTGATGCTGAGAAGGGCTCCATCGGTACAGCCTGAGTCAGATGATGAGCAGAGAAGGGTGATGACTGCTTCTTCATATTTAAAAAAACGGGAAATTGCTGGTGGGAAATTGCCTGCACCCTTGTAAACACACTGTTGGGATGGCCCTATCATGGCCAAAATGCCAAGTACAGTCAGATAGCAAGTCTCTTTAAGACCTGCGCTATTTCTCCCTTTCCAATCACTCTCAAATGTTTATATTCTTATTTCAGCTCTTTTCACTTACTCATCATCAGATAAACACTATTTTAGTTAGGAATGTTTTCACAAACCAAAATTGTTTTTAAAAAGCATTTACTGAAGTTTCACAGAATTATTCTTGCATTCTGTGGGAGTGAAATAGAAATATTTCCCACTGTGCTGCTCTGAGCTTTTATTCCTGTTTCCTTAAACTTCATTCTTTTCTGCTGAAAGAAGTATTGTGAATTGATGCCATTTGTCACATGCTTTAGAAGGCTGGTGGAGATCTGTAGATTGTTATTTGATCTTTGTGAACATAGGCCTACATTTGTCAACTGTAGCTAGATTTGTTAATGACTGTTCTTCAAGTCAACTCTTGTGTCTTACATACAACTCCAAACAGTTCCCATTTTAAGCAGCAGCTCTGCTCTGGTTTCATATGCTGGTTTATGAGAACCTGCAGATTTCCGCTTCTCTTTCTGCTTCTGTCATTATGGAACAAAATCAAAGATAGTAACAAGAACATAGAAGCCTCACGGTTGATGTAGTTTTTCATACCTGGATCCAGAACAGACCCATGGTTCTAACTAACATATTTTTGATGGATTAGTACTGTTGACAAATATTAGGATAAATTCAGAAATTTCCACTGTCAGTGCAGGATTGCACCGAGTGAAAGACTAAGCATTAGGTCAGTGTAAATGACTGGAATTTTCATTCCTGCTTCACTCACAATTTGCATGCTTAAATCACAAGCAGCAAGCAGCAGTCCCCAAAACCAGCTGCTGTTCAGTCTTAGAGATAGCTGGAGCTTTTGGGATTCTTAAATTTGTATTTCAAAGCTTCCCAGAGCTCCAAAACAGCTTTGAATCATTCTCAGGTGTGCTTCTGAGGTGATTGCCCTGCAGCCTAGCTCATACCTTAAGCATTTTACCTTAAGCCTGGTATTTCTTACCGCTGTGCCTGGAGGAGTTCATCAGCTAGATATTCCCAGAGCATATTGAGGGAACTGGGCTGAGTTGAATGTTTTTGCTTAAAGAATTTCAGGCCAGTATCTCCACTATTGCCAGAGCATGTCAGAACTGAATCTGCACACAGCAATCAAGCATTTCTGGGGCTCGAGTATGTGTGCTTGTATGAACACTGCTTGTCTAATAGCTGCTTTGCTCACCCAGGAAAGGAAAAGGCTGGATGCTGATCCAGTAGTTCTTTAACATGAATAAAGCAGAGGCTTGAATAGTGCTGATTGTCTAAAACACTGCAGTATGGAGTCATGCAGTCACGTGTGTTCAACTCTGGAATCAGTAGGAGTGCATTATCATCTGCATTCTGTGTTCAGTCCTCTGATCCTAAATCAACTGGTAGCCTGGTGATTAGGGCACCCTGCCTGCAAGTGAGGACACTTTTTTGCACTCAAGCTGTGTAGGTTTTGCCCAATCTGGATGTGCATCCTGAACACTGTGCCCTTTGTGCAGTATTTTCCTAAAGGCTGCAGTTTGCATGAAGAGTTGAATGCTCCATTTCCCTGCATGACATTTTAGTTACCATTTAGCCACTCCATTCTGGAGAATTTATAAGAATTTTTAAGACTGCCAAAATAAAGCTGGCTATTTAGATATAAATATTTACTCTACCTGAAATCCTGCGAGAGAGGGAAGAGTTAAGATGTTGCTTCAGTCAGGATCTGTGGCGGTCTGTGAGGCAATGAATACTTTTGGAAGTGTAGAAATGGTTGCACCTCCCTTCCCTTCCCAACATCCTCTTCTTGTATTAATGTGCCTGTTCCCTCATTTATTCCCATTTCTTTTCTCCATCACTGCCTTTCAGAATTATAGAGAGAGATGGAGGGAGAGAGGCCAATTCAAAACCACTGTTAGTTGGTGCATGTCCTAAAACATGAAGCCCAGTATGCTTTTTTCCAGTGGTCCCCTTCACAACCTTTCTGCAAGTATGTAGGAATTGTAGGAAAGAATAGAGTCACAGTGCATTGACGAGGCCCACACTGAAATAATTTTAGTTTCCTCATCTTTTTACTCTATGAACTAGGGAATTAAGAGAAGCTAATCTCGAAGATTTGGCTGAAAAGGAGAACTGAGGTAGGCTGTTAGTGTCAGCCATCCTGTCATTCAGCCTAATAACCTGCAGGCCCTGCACTGTACCAAGCTTATTATGTTCTAGGAACGGAGGAAGTTTGTGCCACTGCAAAGCTGCTTGGAAGCTCTGCTTGTAATTATTTTATTTACTGAAACTGTTTGTTGTTTTGTAGTAAAGAGTAGAAGTAGCAGATTTATGAGATCAGAGATCACTAAAGATATAATGCAAGACAGTTATCTGTATATATGCATTTTATTTTAACCAATGTAATTGGTTACTAAAACTGTCATTAGCAATTCCAGTTTTTATCTACATGACTTGGATTAAATGCATCGATCCATTCCCTTTGCAATCCTTATCTATATTTTCTACTACGTGTATGGTTACTTAGGAGTGCTTTAGGAATGCCCACAATTATGACACATGCAGAGTAAACCAGTTGCCAGCATGCAGTCATCCTGTGTAGAAGAACATTAGGATAAAGAGTACAAAACCATATTTAGAACTAGAACTAAATGTTTATGTTGCTATTCACTTTGAATCTGACTGGTACATACGCAGTGCAAGGTTTCAGGAGTGACATATGCCTATCTTCTTTTACATGTTCTCTAAGCGTGCATTTTTTCATACCTGGAGTATCCATCTCATTTTCTTTCTTCAGAAATCTATTGAACACTATTATGTTTTGTTGTATGGTTAAGAAATGTTCTTGCTACATATCTGAAACTGTTGTTACCTGTTTGGCTGAATATTTAGGAGAAATAAGAAAGCAGTTAATAGTGATAATTACTGTACTACAAACTACAAAGATTGGCCAAAAATACAGGAAAATTACAAAAGGGTGCCCAAACTGTGTGGACACTCTGTGGTATCTGCTGCAAGATCCTGTTTAGTAAGAGGGAGTAGAGTCTCAAAGGGGAGAAGATATGGGAAAGGAAAAGTGCTCTTGGTTTTGCTGTGCCACGTGGAGGAGAGGAAATAGTGGCTTATTGTAAACAGAATGGTAGAAACAATGTGTTGCAGCATCAAAACCCCTGCCTGACTTGCTGGCTACAAATAGGTTGGTCTCTGACAAATGGTCATTAAAAGTTTTCTGATAAAACAAGTTGCTTTTCTTGGGCATTCTAATGAAGCCACCTTTCATCCCCAGCTTTCTCAGTGTGGATGTGAGGTTGTGTCTTTCTGTCTATTCTGTTGTACTCCTATACCTGTGATCAGTTTACTCTGTAGTTTGGTACATCTAGGCATTCACACTTATGCTGGTTAAAAAAACAGTACAGTTTAAAATCAGTGCTGGACTAAGTCCAGTTTTTTACTCTGTGGGAAGTTCCATTCAGCCTTGTCCTACAAGAGAGGAAAGGAGAATAAATATCACAGTGGTTTCAATAGACCTGTGAGTGACTGGAGTATAAATAATATTTAAGAAGGGATTTTCTTGTTCCAGTTACTGATGGTAAAATAAAAGCCTTACAAAGTATTGATACATTTGCATTTTAGTTCTAAAATAGGTTGTATTGTTGCTGGTTTTTTTCTGCATCCAAGCCTCGAGTGCTAAAAATACACCAGCACTGTAACATTCCTTATCTTTATTATTGCGCACTCTCTCTGCCATTTCTGCTTGTCGTGAGGTCAGTCTACCGCAGAGGTGGACACTACTATGAAACTCATGAAGAACAAGGAGATTAAGAGTAGTCAGGATTTATATATGAAGGGGAAGTCATGCTTAGCCATCCTGATTGCCTTCTAGGATGAGGCAGCTAGCCAGCTAGCTTCTTTGATGAGGGGAGAATACTCAGTGTTGTTTACCTTGACTTTAGAAACTACGTTTAATACTCTTTCCTGTAAGGCTGCCTGAAAGCCTGCCAGGCTGACAAATGATGGGATGGATAAGTGAGCCCAGCCAGGCCCAGAGAGTTGTGATCAGTGGCACGAAGCCCAGCTGAAGGCAAGTCTGGTTAACACCAGTGTCAGTACTATTTATACATTCATTAATGACCAGGATGCTGACACAGAGCATCACCCTCACCAAGTTTGCAGACAGTACAAAACTTGGAGGAGTGGCTGATACACCATCCAACCAGAAGGATTTTGCTGCCATTCAGAAGGACCTGAACAAACTGGAGAATTCCAATTCTTAACTTTTTTTTTTTTTTAATTAAAGTATTACACCCCATATGCAAGCATTTATCCTCGAGTCCTTGCTATGCTGACTATCCCATCCTGACAATAACTTCTTTGTGTTTTTACTTTTATTGTGTAGTTTTCACTTGTGTGCTTTTCCACACCTTAGCACATTTCTTTGTAAAGCTGAGTCAGTAGCATGCAGCAGGGCTGAACCAAAGTGGTTCCTCAGTGACAGACAGCTGAACCTTGAGCTGGGGGTTACAGGTGAGGGAGGGCACTGAATTCAGAAGCAGCATGATGTACAGAGAAGGTGTAGATATACTTTGTTGGGTGGAGGTATGTTTCCAAATAGACTACCTTTTGTTGAGGTGTAGGGTAAGCTGTAATTACAGGTGGAATTTTGCTAAGAGTATATGTTTGTACAGTACTTCCCTCCAGCATTCAGATCTTGTTGCTTGAAATAATGTTCTGACACATGTGGTAGCTGGATATCATAATTGCTACAAAACCTTATGCGATTCCTATAGGCAAAGGAAAGCACAGCTGCTGCCCTCCTAAGCTAATGGAAGAAACTGATGTTATTAATACAGCAGTGGATGTTTGGAAGCCACTCTTTTGGGCTATT